GAGACCACTGCATATGTATTGATTAAACGAGTGTTTCACACCTTTAGGAGCGGATCTGAACTTGGCTAGCAACAGAGCCTGCCACATGTGAAAAGAGAGTGTGTTTACAGCTTAGAGGCAGCAAAAGAAAAGGTGTGCTCCCCACGAGGTTTATGACGTATCTTTGGGACGCACAGGACGAGATGTTTGGACGGTCTTAGAGGTCGAGCAGGGATGTTAGAGGTGATCAGTTTTGACGGGTAATGGGAAGCTGGCCCATTTAGGGCATTGTAGATGATGGTTAAACTTTAAATTGAACCCGGTAGAACTCCACCACATCCAGCCACATCCTTTTCTTCCACATGCTTGGCACTGTATGCTTTTATGTGAAACAAAAACGGTCTGTTCAAGGAAATGTAACACTTTGCTTTATAAATGTAGTTTCTCAATGTTAAAACCAAAAAAAAAAAAATTTATTTTAAGGCAGGCTGCTTATGTTTTATGTGATTCGTTTTCATCCACGTATGCACTCCTGAGTGTTTATTGGGACAGGGTGGATACCGAACACTACTGCCAAAAAATAAAAGTGTGAACGGTTCCACTTGGCCTCTAAAATGTATTCTCTCATCTCCATTGGATTACAGCCCTGGCTGCTGGCCTCATGTTGCAGTCAGGTGGACTTGCTGAATCATGCTCAAGCGGCCAAGTGCAGTGTGTTGTACGTGTCGGCTCTGCCTCATTTTTACAAGCTAGCGTGAAAACTGCTCAAGTGCTGCTGCTTTTCTTGTCTCTCTGTTCTTTGTAATATTTATGTGCATGTTTCTGTTTACCACAGTGAGCAAAATGTGGGCAATGGTTCTTTTTGGGGACTGAAATTTACAAAAGTCGTCTCAATTGACATAAAATTGTGTTTGAATTTATAACTATGAACAATATTTGCAGGTTACATTTTTAAAATTGCTGTGAATGAACTATTAGTCAAAGCCAGATGAAGACCTTGGAGACATAAATTCAGTAAAGTTAACTGTGCAACAGAGGGAGTATCTCAGGACAGTCCTGTCCCAATTTCACATTAAACTTTCTTAAGCACATTAAAAAGTGAATTGTTAAAATAATTATCAAGGCAAATACCAATGCCTATCCAATTTATTATAGTGTTGTCCATTTATAAGTAAGTTTCTTCACCACTGGTTTCTTTTCATGCTGCAGCTTTTACCAAATCTCTTTCTTGGATCCCATAATTAGTTTATCTTTTTCTTTTTTTTTTTCTTTAAAATATTTATCTTTTTTATTCCCATTATTATGATATTTTATAACAATTTTGAATTAAATGTTTTTGTTTGTGTGAAACTTATATATAAAAAATGTTTCTTCTTTTTCTTAAAAGTATTGTTTTAAACAAAGGTTGTAAGATATTTACAGATTTTTGTGCATGTGTGTGATTAGTTGTTTTAAGTGCTGGGCTGACAATTGAAATATAAATAGATAATGAAATAATAAATATACGAAGAGTTAATTGGGATGACATGAACTCAGAATTAAACACAGATGTTTTACTTGTTTTCTTTAAAAAAAAACAACAAAGATTGCTACAGACCTGAAGCAGAATGTTGTTTGGACAATGTTTCACACATTTCTGACAAACTAGAAATAGATCCTAAGAGTCTTAAAAAAAGAACACACCCAGCTGGACTTTCTTTTCTTGTTTCCTAGAATAAGGCTTCATCTGCAGTCTGAATCCTACTTCATGCATGTTTGTTGTTCATTCTTGTGTGATTTCAATTTTGAGGAATTAGTATAACATGAAGCTCGGCTAACAGAGAGAATCAGGAAGCCTTTATTTCTCTTTCTTTCAGCTCCTGTGTCAGTATTTTTTCTACTATCTTGATATGTGGTAAGGCTCAGGACATGGCTCCTTTTTAAACTGGTGTGTCATTCACCCACATTAAAACAACGCTCCATGCAGAAACCCCTTTTCCACAACAGCAAATGCCAAGTTTCCTTCTCTACTGTCAGGTGCAGAAGTGAGATGAATTATGGGAGAGATGCGAGCTTGAAAGCGGCTTATGATGCATCTGGCGTTGCCCTCTAATCACAGATTTTTCATTTCAACAAAAATTCTCTTTCATTTGCCCTCAAGCATGAGATGAAAATTGAGTCTGTTTGGGAAATCCACAGTTCCTCGACCCAGCGATTGAAGTCAGGAGCAAAGCAGACTTTGTTCTTTATCTACAGAAACTGTTTCAGTAGATGAATGCTCTGGGTTGACGACTGCTCACTTACAGACCATTCACATAAATATGTTTTTCTACATGGGAGAATGGCCACCACAAAGAAACGCTGACAAAAAAAAAAAAACAGCTCAGAAGGCATGAACAACCTGAACGCTGGTTCTGGTGGAAGTCTGAGCATAGAGACTTTAGAATAAAGGATCACTGACTTAAAACCAGAACAGACTTATACCACATCAAATCAAAACGTCTAAATAAATTCAGCACAAAGTTATTGTTATTTGTGTTTCTTGATTTGCGAATTGTTTTAAAGTTATGTTCACAACTGAGACTGTTTTTTTTTTTCTTCCTTAAAAAGTGTCTCACATACCACCATTGATAGATGGACGAAATGATTGAGTGGAGGAATCCCCCCCCCCCCCTCATATTTTATTTTGCCACTGCTATTTTATTTGACCTACCTTCCATCCTTCATTTCCCAAATGGAGAAAAAAAGATGAAAGTGTTGTCATGGTAACACAACTGGTGTCATTCCAGTGAAGAAAGTGGAGCTGAGCCATGAGAGGGCCATATGGCCATAGGGTTCAGCTTTACTCCAAACACACCCTGCTGCTGTTGGCGCAGTTTCTAAAAACTGGTAGATGATTTATGGGTTTTCTAAGAACTGGTGTCTGTGGTAGCTATCTTAAACTTGATTGACTTCAAAAGGTAACCCACAGTAAATGTGAGTCCAATGAGGAGTTCCTGTGAGTTTATATAAAATGGACCCAGTATTTCATTGAACATTTGCTTTAAAATACTAGGTTTACTGTTAGTTAATTCTTACATCTAGATTATTTTTCAAGAGGGTACCACCTTGAGGCAGAAAAATGTATTGCACCCTTAAGCCCCTCTCCCTGCTTCCGTTACACTGCTGTAAGCAAAGCTTCTCATTTGGTAACATGCACCTCTAGCCAGGCAACCAAGCTAAAACACGTTGTTTTACAATACAATGAGGGACTGCTTTTGCACTGCTTTTTTTTGTCTACTAATTTGTAGTCTATGTTCTCTGAAAGAAATGAATCTTAGAAGGAGTTCAGTAAGGTCTGTTGAGTCGTTCTACAAGATATTTTGCTAAAAAAGATAGATACAAACACACAAATGTAAAATATAAATATACATTACAGGAATAGGGAAAATGGTAACATCTGTTGGTAGTTTTAACTGAAAGCTGGAAGCATAAGCGTAGGGGAGGCTTGTAAACTGTATGCTGCCTTGGAGCCTTTTGGCAAGTCCTACACTATCGATGTGTAAAGTTTGCCTTTGGCTTTTTATCTTGGTGATTCATTCACAGCTGAAGAAATACAACAAAAATGAGGAGCAATTTTAGAATACCTACCAGCTGATTTCTTTTCTGCAGATCTGTAGGAATCATGAACAACTGCTGAAGATTGTTGCCTGCTTTGAAGGTTTTGCATCTCTTATTAACAAACGAACTCACAAGTCTTTGAAGACTGATGCTTTCAGTGACAAATCCAGCCGACCTCTGGAAGACAGTGCAAGAGCTTATCTGTGTACTAGAGATGAACTTTTATTTGGGGATTTGAAGTAAAACGGTATGATAAATCAACTTATTTACCACATTTATAGACATATGCACTTGCTTCTGGTACTTTATCAAGTTCCATTTAACTTGTTTCTAAAGCTTAGAAAATAGATGCTCTGAAATGAAAGAACCATGCTTTTCCCAGAATTGTTGTATTGAGATAACATGACTCACTCAAATTTCTCTGAAGCACTCATCAGTGTTATGTGGCATCAAAAAGAGTGGAGGGGGCATAAATAATTAATAATTTGAGTAAATATTCTGCTGTCTTTTGCATTAAAATCCTACTGTTGGTGTGTCAATCATAGTACCCATACACATGTTAAGTTGATTTTTGGCATTGTTTAGTATTATTCTATAGCTGCAGGAACATTAACAGTATCAGCATTAACAACTAAAGTTCAGAAATGTATTTAATAACTGGATCCTCATTATTGGTAATCATTTTATTTCTTTAAAGGAATTTTCTTTACCTGTTTACATTTTAATGAACAAAATGGTGATTTAGTTCACATTTAATCACAAATAAATTGTAAAATTAAGTTTTTATTGGCTTACTGACTTTAAAAAGCATAGTTAACTTTAAAATGTAATTTTTCATTTTTAGTGACGCCCACATCTTTTGTTAGTTATGAGCAAATAGTCAACTTTCTCTGGTTTCTGTAATTGTCTCTTGGTAGTTGATTATCTTGATTGTTCACGTAAATGAACACTTAGGTCGGGAAAAGCTCCTCCAGTATCTGCACTGTCAGTTGCTATCACGTTGTTTTTGTTTTTTTAATTCAGAAAGCATTGGTCTTTGTCCACTCGTATCGAGAGAACGGCAACAGTCAAGGACTAGCTGTCTCTTTTCCCCCGGCCAGCCACACACTTGCTTTCTCTTATCTCGCCTTGGCAGCAAATTTACACAACACTCCTGAAACCAGAGCCAGGGCACTGCTCTACAAAGTTAAAACAGAGCTTTGGGGAACTTGCAGACTTTTTAATCAGTGAAGACCAAGAGCAGGGGAGTGGTGGGTAGCAGGTTAATGAGATCACCCACCCACTGAGGTCGCCCCCCCCCCCCCTTGTCAAAACGGGGAGGCCAAGCCTGCTTTAGTCCTCGGATCCAATCAAATCCACTTCACAGGCACATGCTCGTTCTGTCCTCAGCGTTTGATTTGAGGCTAGTTTGTTTATTGAATGCACTTCTCTGTCTTCTTCAGGGCAGCTTCGTGGCCTGTATGACGGCGATACTGAGACAGATGGATGACTACCATTACACTCATCTGATCAGCACCTTTGGCAAGATAAGAAGTGATGTGGTGGTGAGTTCATCTTCCAGCCTACGTTTCATGTAACAAGCTAAACGTCCTTCTGCTCTGTTCTTCCTGAAAACCCCAAATGAAATTAGGTTTTCTATTCATAATAAAAAACTGAATTGAATTTCTTTTTGCCTTTGGGCTTCAACACGAACTCAACGCTCATGTGGATAGTTGCATTTGAGGAAAATGGAGAATATCACTTGTTGCGGCCGACACGTAGTGGAGGAACGATAAATCTCAGTGGTTTGGGATTTCAGCCGTGGGTAATCCTGCCCTCAAAGCCGTATTTCTCTAGTATCTGCTGCCAGATTAGCATTCTATTACTCCACTCCAACAAATAAGAAAATCTCACTGTAGGTGAATCCGGAGCTTTAAAGAGGGAGGACGAGGATCTAATTTGCATTTCAGGTAGAGCTTCATAAATGGCAAGTAGACCCTGAATTTAGACTTTTGCTTAAATAAAATTACTGATTTTTTAGATTTAATATGTGAACATCCTTTTTTAATATTTTCAGGAAGGTTTGAGAAGGAAACCAGCATTAAAGCAAAAATGAGGTCTCTGACCTGCAGAATTACGGGATGCATTTAAAGTTTCTTATTCATTTCACAAAAGAGCATCACAGCAATCAAGCTGTATTTTTTATTTTTTTTTACTTTTGTTTTCCTGTCAGCTGATGAGCCGGCTCTGAGCCATGTAAACATTTCATTTCTTGATGCAACCCAAAGGACTTTGTTGTGTTGCAGTTTTTCCTTGTGACAACCCAGAAATAGATTTACATGCATATTTATGTCAGTGGTATTTAGCTGGAGTCAAAAAGAAATCTGTATAATGTAGAAAAGTCGTGTGAAGAATGTAAAACTTAAGAGTTAAACTGCATAACAGAAAAAAGCGACATTATAGAGTGTATGTGTACAGATGAAGAGATTACTGACACTAAGTACCTTAGTTGGAAGTATGCTCATGTGTAAAAGTGTAAATTTCTACCATCTTACGTTTTGATACAGTTTCAGGAACGCCTCTGTTTGGTGAAATAGGTTTTACATACTACTTGGCACAAGCTAAGACTTTGTATGGAGCAGTGGGGGATGCGACAGTCATGCACATACAAAACCACAATAAATGCCCAACACAACATTTCAATTTTCCTCATAAAATATAAATATTGTCATTTGTGCACTTCTGTTTCATGGTCAACACATATTAAACAAAAAAAAACCTGCAGAGAAATATCTAAAATATTTACATAAAACATTATTTTTAAAGATCTTTTAGATTTATTTGTTTGTCCTGGTATAAAGGCTGATCAGGGAGATATTTACAAGACTAGTTATTGATAACTTTTACACATAAACTAACCAAATAAATCACTTTCAGCATTGAAATGAAAACCTTCATTTAGGCTTTTTTGTCACAGAAGATTAGACATGAGTCGTTTCATTCATTCATTTGTTTGGTAGCATGTTAAAATGAGGGGAAAATTGTAAATGTTTTATTATCACATCTGAGCTTTAAAGACCAAGTTCACTGAGAAACCGTTTCTTACTTATTATTTTAAATGATCTGTCACTCAGAGTTTCACATGAAAATGGTCTTCTACCCCTAATACCTGCATTAGACACCGATAGAGTATATACAGGCAAAAGCCACTGAGATATAAGTCACACTTTAAATTGACACTCATTGACCATCTTGGCTGTTGACGAGGAAGGCTGATGTTGGTTCAGCGTCCAGGAAACAGCAGATATTGTCTCAGCTAGTTGAAGCTAATTGTTAGCATTAGCAACTTCACCTCAGAGCAGAACTCCTTCAGGCTTGTGCTATTTGTGGAGATAAAACTCAACGTTGGAAAGTAAACAGAGTTGTGTTGCTGCTAGCCAATCAGAGGCAAGATGTGCAAATATCAGAAAATAAAACTCCAAAAGTCGCTGTATGCTCACCTCTCCTCTGTCTAACTTCGACTTCCAGAAACAGGAGCGCCAGGGCTCTCCAAATGAACTTAGTCTGATGTTATATTTGTGACAAGTGTTACTATAGAAACAGAAAACCCTCTGATTTGAGTTCTTGACCTGAAATTCTAATTAAAGGTGTTTCAGGACGAAAGCAAACAGTTCTTTCAGACCGCTTTTGTCTCTGAACTTGGAAGAAGTACAGTTTTCATTTTGAAAACGTTTTTCTCTTACACAGGATTTCCTAATGGAAACATTTATCATGTTCAAAGATCTCATTGGGAAAAACGTCTACCCCTCCGACTGGATCATAATGAACATGATGCAAAATAAGTAAGTACAAGTTTGCTGGCGTAACATTAACACACACACTCACGATTCTGCCGTTCCTTAGCAACAACAGTCGGGTAAGAATATTCTTTCAAATGTTTTTCTCTCCATGCAAATATCGGCACAAGGCCTCAGCAGCGGAGCAATCAGATGAGCAGTCAGCGCAGCCGCAAACAATCACATGAATTATAGATGCTCTGGTGGATGCTGTCTAATCTCCAAATTTAGTCTCAGCATCTTTTTGCTCTCTTTCTCATGCCGCTCCAACTTTGTGTTTTATTCATGTGAAACTTGCTTGATTTAATTTTTATCGAAAATGTAAAAAAAAGAGCACAGTTTTTGTTTAGCCTGAGTTTAGGGAGGAGCTGTGCGTACTTGTCAGAAAATAAAATAACAAAAAGGTATTTTACAGGATTTCCCCCACTGGTGTTTTTCACCAGAGCCTGGCAGTAAACACTAAATGTTTGTTTCAGTGACATTATGCCAACATCGGTTTTGTTTTTTCATGCCAGCTTCAATGTTTTACGTTGATTTATTCTCTAAAAACGAACAAAAAGTTTCTTCCTAAACATTTTTGTTTCCTTTTTGAACTTTTTCAATATGCAGAAGTCTTCGTCTTCTTCTTTTAAACTGAATGATTTGTCTTCTTTTGCTGATCTTTGTCTTTGAATGTGTTCATAACCATTTGTGGAGAGAGTTCCTTGGTGCCAAAGGGACAACTTCTGCTTTCACAAGTTCAGGGTTATTGCTTTACTTTTTAAACATTGATTCATGTTGGCTTTTATCAAGCTGTAACCTGTAGCATGCACTTTGGACATTTATGAGAAGTCAAGGAACTATTTATCTTGTCAAAAAGAGGCTGTTTAGGTTGCATTTGGGCTATTTCGGGCAACAAGTTGTAGAGATAAATTTACTCAGGATGTTTTATAAATGGGCGAATTTTTGAAGTAGATTTTATGTTCAGAATTTATGCTCAAAGTGCTTTATTTATGTCTCATTTTATTCTATGTGGTCACCAGCCTCACATAGAAATTTAAATGAGATGGGTTCAAGGTGAGCTCCAGAGGCCTGCCGCTACAGTTTAGACTTTTTTTTTTTTAAGGGATGTTCATGTTCAAAATGTACAGCAGGCTGCAAAGCTTTCCAGGTCTTATTCTTAAGAATTTTTGTAAAAATCAAATCACGTTCCTCATGGCAAGATTGTGTTTTTGCACAGTGTTCTCTGGCACCAATAAAACATTTAGAAAAACTTTCTTCACACATCCATTCTAGCATAAGACCCATCAGGAGAACATTTAAAATGATTTGGGCTAAATCGGTTTCTTTAGTCGTTATTAATATTTTAGTGAAAAGCAGCCCTCAGCGGTCTGACTGGTCCCTGCAGCTGTGCTGACTCCATTTGTTCCCGTCCACCAGTGCATGTTTGAATAAACTTCTCCTCACAGTGAAACCCATACCTGACACATAAATTCCCATGATTGAGCCAGTGATCGATACAATAAAAGATAGAAGTTGTTTCATGTGCTTCAGTGGTTTAATGGAACCCACAATACCAAAATCTCCAGGCTCCGAGCTGTTTGTGTTACCCTGCAGAAAGTGGCCATTCACGGCAGGTGCAGCCGTCTCTATTTGACTGTGATTGTCAACCCAGTCCTGCAGAAATCATTCTAACATTACCACCGGAGAGGACATTCAACTAGCAATTGCATTGCTACTCAATTTAAATTCTATTGCTTTCATTAGTCCTGTTTGATTGCTGCAAGCCTGATTTCTTTTCAGTACACTTTCCTAAAAACATTATTAGCCACCTGAGTCACAAAACAGAGGCTGGTGCAGCTACCAGCAGGGTAACCAGCGACATCTGTTCATCCCCAGACTCAGCTGCTATACCAGCCTGACCTTTAAGAGCCACACTCTCAACCCTTGAGCAAAGCATGGCTCGTGCGTTTTCTCAGGACTAACAAGCTCATTTAAACTCCCCGTAGTCCCTGTCATGCTGGGCCTGTTGGAGCAGCCTAAGTGATGTGTTGAGTTAGATTCTAGCTTCTGCTTTGTACCGTAGTGGATGAAAGTTTTTTTTTTCTCAGACTGGAGGCCAGTGTGTCATCTCTGATGCTCAGAGGAATTGTTGACTAAACCTTTTGTATAGTTGCTTTTGTTGGTGACAGCAGAGTAATTAATTCTACATGCTTGGTTGTACTTTCAGTTGTTTGCTCTAGTTCGATTATTATTTATTTAAATGGAAAAACAAGTCTGTCAAAGTTTGACTCATCTCACCTTCTTTCTACATGTGCCTGTTTGAAAACTACTTTGTGGTCAAATAAGCAGTCTTTGGCTGTCATCCACTAAATTGGGTCTGATTGGGTCCATTCTTCCTTCGCCTCTTAGGGAAAATTCATAAAAAACGAATTCATCCCCAAAAATGAGCTATTAGTATTTCACATTAACAGTTCTAACACAAGAAGAAGACTGCTCGGGGGGGTAGGTAGGCGGGGTATTCATAGGTAGTTTCTGCTCATTAAGCAACAATAGACAGCTACAGTTTTATGAGCTTGAGTCTCCCATATTCCAGTCACAATTGACAAAGCTCCTCAGATGAAAAGCACAACATCTTTGAGAAACCAACGAAGTCCGCTTGCCTTCATTGGAACTCCTTTGGATTACCATGACCTGGATGACTGAGAACCTTCACCAGCATATTTCACATTAACACATTTGAAACTGTCACAGCATCCTCTGAAGTCCTAATGAAACTAGGTGCCTTAAACCTGGACTTTGAGTTTGTTTTGGTCCTCAAACACAATTTTTTTAACATTCCCTAAACTGAAAAATGCAAGAATCAAGTCACATCGGGAACAGAGGTGTTCTAAAGTATGCTGACAACTGGCCAAAGACAGGCTCAGGCCTGCTGAATCTGTATGCTGTCAGTGTCCTCTTCTCCCAAACAATGATTGTGATTCTGTGCAGCTGGGTGCTTCAGGGCGGAGACAGATAGCGTAGAAGAAGGCGAGACTCAGACTGCCAGGCTACCTTGGGGTGTGGTGCTGAAAGGACAGCTCCTCTGTAACAGTAGTTGACCCTCCTTCGTTACAGCACCGCAGGAAAGATGCAAATTTATCGTGCATGCCCACTTGGTTTTAGATTATTTTCCATTCATTAGTTTTTAATTGCCTCTAGCATGAGGTCTGGTTGCACAAGTAACAGGAGGGAAAGTCTGAACTCCTATTTATGAGGAGGGAAAGCAGCTTTAGTCTGAATTTCATTTGAGTAATGGAGCTTTGTGCCTTACCTCTAAGGCAGATTTGACACAGGCTTTTTTTCCTATCTCGTACTCTGTTCCATGATCACTCAGGAACAGGACTTCAGCTTGCTCGACTTTCTTCTCTTGGGGCACCGACTCAACCCCAACCTACTGGAAGAAGTCTTTGCTGTGTTAGTGCAACACTGTACCGCACAGCTGGTTTCATTCAGGCTTTTTAGTAAAATGAAGGATCAGCTTCATCTTGACACAAAACATCATAAACATGACAAAAATTCAGAACTATTATCCAAAAGACATTTGAATTTTACAAAACTAACATCAGCTAAAATGAGTATTTGTTATTGTTTTAACTAACAGCCATTAATTCACAAATCCAATATTTATGAGCTAAACATAAACACTACTTTTTATCACATGTTTGAACACTCCTCAGTCTTTATCACCAAGTCCTGCTCGTGGACAGTTCACGCACGCTACATTTATCCCAGAGATTCCAGCCGCTGCCTTCACCAGATGGCTGTTTCATGTCCACACATTGTGATAGTCCCGCTAATGAGATGGGCATCACCTCCTACTCCCTTTCCACCCATCAGTTCCTACTTCCTCCAGGTTGCAGACTTATTTATGGGCTCTAATTGCCCCCGTGACAGCAGCATCAGCATGGTTAGCTACCGACCGCCATTTCCCTCACGCCAACTGGCCACGACTTCATAGCGACAGCGATCGGCTCACACATGTTCACTGAAATGACAGGAAACAAGTCTGCTTGCATGCACTCTGACATTTTTCAGAGGCAGACATTTGGGCGACATCTAAATGAAGTTTCACTCCACCGCCCATCAGGCAGGGGCATCCACAACACTCACTCAGCAGATTGTGTAAAAATGATGTTGGGTGAACAAGTGTAATTAGTGATGCTTAACAAGTGTGTTCTCTCACTGTGGCACGACCTTAACACATTAACCTCACATGAGCATGACAATGTTTATTTTGAATTCATTCTGGATTCTGCATGGTTACATTTTTATGGGTCCACTTTTATATAAAAAGTAGTCCAACGTCTTTTTCTGAACCATTAAAAATAATCTCTGCTAATCAAAGTGACATATTTACTGTAAAAATTCATCTCTTAATGTCTTGATTAGCTGTCGATTTCTGTAAAATTGCCACTTTTGTTTTGTGGGGGATCTCTGATTATATGAATTAACTCAGCATCCTCTCTCTGCTGCTTGCCTCCGACTTGCCCCTGCGTCTCTTCTGAAATCCAGGTCACAATCACTCGTTAGTTTCCTTCGGGGGCAGCCGTGGCTCGTCGCAATGTTTTCCTCTACAGTTTGTGAGAACAGAAAATGAAACTTACAAACTTATACCAGAGCAGGAAGAAAACAACAGTAGGGTCCAAATCTGAGCTAAATTGTGGAAACTTTTTTAGTTTAATCTTTTTAGTCTGCCATTTTTGGTATGATTTAGACTGCAAAAGAAATGGAAATATCTCCTGGTGGTTGGCTGTCGAGTCCCACCCTCCTCCATGTAAACTAATGGAGCATGATTCTGTCTAACTTAAGTTTTTTCAAATATCCTTTGTTTCTGATTCATAGGGCGAGGAAGAAAGGTCCTCATTAGCTGTCTGTGTTGAAACAGATCTGAATAAGTCTCACTCTGTTGTTGAATTACTGTCCTGTGAAGAGGATGCTCAGGGTTAACTAACATGTTCTTTATTTTATGAAGCATGCTTCTTTGT